TCCTAGATTTACTGGTTTATTTGCATAGAAGTGTTTGTAATAATCTCTGATGGTAGTGTATATTTCTGTGGAATCAGTGGTGATATCTCCTTGATCATTTTTTATTCCCTCTATTTGAACCTTCTCTCTTTTCTATTAGTCTGGCTAGCAGTCTATCTATTATGTTGATCCTTTCAAAAAAGCCAGCTCCTAGATTTACTGATTTTTTTGAAGGGTTTTTTGTGTCCCTATCTCCTTCAGTTCTGCTTTGATCTTAGTTATTTCTTGCCTTCTGCTAGCTTTTGAATTTGTTTGAACTTGCTTTGTAGTTCTTTTAATTATGATGTTAGGGTGTCGACACTCTAACGTCAGGATTAGAAACCTCTTAAAAGGGTTACCCACTTCAACATATCACACACACAGTTTCTATACCTGTAATTGAAGTAATGAGTTGTATGAAGAGGTATTGTTCTCTGGAGAACACACCCCAACTACCACAACCCCACTCAGAAAAAGGGTGGCAGTTAATTTGTCCTTGCAATTTGCAGTTTTCTTCAGTTACTTCTTCCTGGGAACTCTCTGAACTTATAAATTATCTGATATTAAGGACTACATGTTCTTAAGCGAGCCCAAAAGCCCCCCGTTTAGTATTGTTTGGTTTTGTTAGTGTTTTGTCAGATGTAGTCATAATAATCACAATCCAAGATTGAAAAATATTTAGACTAAGACATGTTTTTCCCACTGAAAATATTTATCTCTGTATCATTATTAAAGTAATGACAGAAATGCCTTATAGTAAGGTATTGTCCCCTTTTAAAACCAACAGGGTGGTCTAGCGACAAACATTCTGAGCTGGGAGGGTCCACATAGCTCGATTTAGTTCTTATTTCTTGCTTTGTTTTTAGGGTTGTGAAAAAATATATAGTAAGCAAGAGAGTGTTTTGCAAAAGTACTATGAAAATTCAAATTAGAGTCACCATTTGCTGTTTATATTCTATACTTTAAACCAATACCCCTCCTAGATCACATGTAAGCCTTCTCCCCTAACATTTATTTTCTTATAGCCAAATTTCTTTTTTCCCACACTTCTCTTTTATAAAACGTATTGTCTGGAAAATCATTGAATGCAAAGCCTTTTCTTTCCCACATTTACTAATGATTCCAAGTCACTCAATACATTTACGATTGACTCTTTCAAAACAGCTCTTTCTTATTCTCAGTAATATATCTTGTTTTTTATTATTATTATTATTTATTTAATCACCTGAATTTCTCTCTCACCAAGTATTGTTTACTCTTTCTATACTGTAGAAAAAAAAAAAAAGGTGGTTTCAAGCTTTCCTGTTACTCTCCTTTAATTTCCCTGGCCAAATAATACTCTTATTACCAATCTATATCTGCAGCTTCTGCCTTACCAAATGTAAAAGGATTTTAAAAAAAATCATATGGCTTTCTTGCTTTCTTTTAGTCCAAACAATTTTTTTTCCTATTTCATGTTTCTTTTCTATTAGGATATTAGGTCTGTCTTTTCTTCTATTTTTCATAGTATGTGCTTTTCAAATTTGCACATGTAGATCTTCAACTTTTGTGGTATAAACAGTTTGAGAAGTCAGTAAGAATTTTAGAAATATAGAACTAGAACTTGAAGGACAGGCAAGAATTTTAAAAGGCAGATTCACAAAATTATTATATTATAGCATCCCAATTTCAGGAATGTGAAAACCAAGATACACAGAAGTCAGTTAACTTGTTCAAGGTCACACAATCATTGAGACAGTAAACCCAAGAATGTCTGATCTTAGAATCTAAATCTGAATCATTATGACCATTGAGCTATACTGACAAGGATTTAAGTATCATCTGAATGACTGTATACACTGTTATTGCTCTTATCTGTTCTTAACATTAAAAACATTTTAAAAATGTCTGTAATCTTTGTCACCATTACGTCTGTCCTGTACTACTGTAGGAAGCTCCTAAAAGATCTTTCTGCTTCTGATTTTACTTTCTACACTCTACAGTCTATTCTCAATGGTGTGGCCAGAGTGAAACTTTGAAAATGTAAGTCAGGTAGGTCATATAACTACTGTGTTCAAATCCAAGCAGTGGTTTTCCATTTCCTACAGGTAATGGCCAAAGTTTTTACAATGGCCTATTTGACCCTATTTGATGAAAACTTCCATAATTTCTCTGGATTCTTTTCCCACTATTCTCCATTAGTTTATTCACTCCAGCCATATTGGCTTCCTTGCTAATGCTCCAAGGAGCTAAAGGCCTCACCCCCATCATCTTGCATTGTGGCATAAATACCTGTGTTTCTAATTGTCTCAACTCCTCCATATATATCTAAAGCAAAATATTTTCCCAAGGAAAATATTTCCTCATTTTGCCAATAAAGCCTACTCTTATTTTATTAGGCTGGTGTAAAATTAACTGTGGTTCTTGTCATTGAAGGTAATGGCAAAAACCACAATTACTTTTGCACCAACCTAATAAATTATACATCATCTTTACCCTATGGCACTTCTTACACAGAATTTATCATCTCTTTATATATACACAATTTACATAT